CCAGCTACTCAAGACAAGGCCAGAGGTGAAGACAAGAGCAGCCTTGCTCCCTAGTGGGCGGCAGGTGGCGGGCACCAACTCATGGACAGGCCAGCGGGGAGCGTGGACTCACCTGCCCTGCGTGGACTGGTTGTGAGAATGAGGGTGGGGGCTGGTGGCCCCGTGGGTGAGGGGGGCCCACATGGCTGCAGAAACCCGGACCCCTTTATACGGAGTGTCCGCTCTAAGCAGCAGGCCGTCCATCTGGGGAGTTCGTCCTGTGAGCGCGTGCTCCACACCCTTCCCATTCACCACACCATCTGGCTATCCTGCTGGTCCCCTCCTGGGTGGGGGCCCTGTGGCCATCAGCTGCCATTGGCCACATCCGCAGCCAGCCCAGGACTGGGCCTCAGGTGCACCTGCATCCAGGCCTGCCCTGGAATTAGGGTGGCCGCTCAGCCCTCTGGAGAGGGGTCACAGGTGTGACTCCAGAGTTGGGAACTATGGCTTAGTTTTTCTAAGCTCTTTTTGGGTGTAGAACAGACAGAAGGACAAGTTGATGTCTGGCCATCCAGCCCGGCGTTTGTCCTCAGGGCAGAAGTGGTCCAGAGGGCTCAACTGTCCTCACCTGTGCTCCACCTCCTCCGCTGGTCTGCACTCCTTTCTCTGGGTAGTGGGGCACGAGGGAGTGTCAGCAGAGAGCAAGGGTGACCCCTGAGGTCTGGAGGGGTGTCATGAGTCAGGGGTGCCCTGAGGTCTAGGCCAAGAGCTTGTGGTCAGGAGGGACAGAGTCGCAGATGAGCCCCCTGAGGTCTGGAGGAGGGTCCTGCACTTGGGAGGGGGAGGAGTGTGGCCCACGACCACCCCCTCCCCAAGCACCATCTTCCACACCAGCACCATGCCCTGATTATCCCCACCCCAGCACCATCCCCCACCCCAGAAATACTCTCTCACTCCAGTACCAGCCTCTACCCCAGAAATACCCCCCACCCCAGCACCATCCCTCACCCCAGCCCCCTGGAAAAGCTTTGCCTCTACATTGCTGCCCCACGGGGGCTGCCCGCTGGGGCCTGAGTGTCAGGGGCACCTCAATGCTTGGGGTCCGGGAACTAAGTGTGGAGGTGAGTGAGGGCAAGCCCCAGTGGGAGCAGAGTGGAAGGACCCATGTTGGCTTGAGCCCACGGCCCGGCACTATCTGCTCAAGGGCCTGCACTGCTGTTGGTTTTTAAAAACCACAGTGTTTTGATTTGGTTTGCTTTTGACGCATAGCTATTTCCCTGAGACATGGAGACCCTATTAGGGTACTGGGGGTGGTGGAGAGAATCTGATCCCAGAAAGTACGTGACACATGCCAGACCCTTTTCTCTCCACCCTCTCTCCCCAGCACCTGTGTGACAGTGTGGCTGCAGTTTGGGGAGAGGGTCCCCCACAGTGCCCTGTGTGACATTGGCTCACAGCCAGAACAGAAGGACTGCTGGGTCAATCCACTTCATTGTGCATTTAGGGCCTCTGGCATGCTGTGATCAGAAAATACACTGTTGATTCTCAACAATATGCATTCTGAGCAATTACTGACATGGGTCATCACACTGGTTCTGGGGCGTGGTCCCTAGGAAGAGGGAGGTTTGCAGAGTGCTGGTCTGGATAGGGCTTGGCCTCTGGGGCTCCCTGTCCCTGCTGATGCCACCTCTCATGCCCATTCAGGACCGAGGTGGGTTTCCCCAAGTGTGCATGGGATTAGGCGGGCGCCTGGGGACGTGGCTCCTGACTGGGTCTTGGAGAGTAGGTGCGTCCTCCCTCTCCTCACCCGGCCCTCTCAGCCTGTGGTAGAGCAGGCTGGACACGGAGGGACTTAGGAAGGAGCGGAAGTTGCCAGCTGCTCGCTGACCTG